TTTTTTTCAGCCAGAAGAAAAGCTCTGTCTTTCCTGAAATATTTTATTCAGCAAGCAGTAAATTTCTGAAAATATTTTCTATCTCTTGTTTTGTATTTGATCTTCAGCTTAACTCATATTGCCAATGACAGAAATTATGGATGATGTGGATCAAGAATTCTTTGGGGAACAATGGACTTTAAAATATTGATAGTTGTGGGAGAGATATATATCTTCTCCATCAGTTCATTGAGATAATAAGTAGTTACATTTGCCAGCAGGATATTCTGGAATCTCACTAGATTTGACATCTCTTCACAGATAAACTAACCTGATTGATATTTGCTTTTCTGGTTTTGGCAGAAAAGGTTGTGTGAGTAGTTAGTTATTACATCTCTGACATCTGTCATCATTTCTAAGAGAGGTTATAGAACAGGGGAGTTTGCTGGGTTCATCTTTTTGACTAAACATACTTGAGAAATGATTTATCTTCAAGTAGTTTTACCATCAGTCCTTAGCTTGACAGGATAAATCACCTTGCCTTAAATAGCATAATTTAAAGTAAGGCTATAAGCATTGATCTTGCATTGCTGCCTGCTCTTAGGAGCCCCACGGAGGCCGGTGATTTTTTTAACTACCCTGGTGTTGTTTTGACCTGAGAGGATTCACTCCAGTAATTGACAGAACATTGGAAATGAATCTTTCCATCACCCAGGTTGTCCAAAGTGCTTTGAAGATAGACACCCTAACAAAACATTTGGAAATAATTAGCAGTTATCCTTTCTGGAGCTGATTCTTTGAAGGGTGTGTGTCATGTAGCATTGAAGTCAGGTTTGTTTTTGCTATAGGTCTGGCAAACGATTGTGCATGGAAATAGAATGTTATGAAGTTTGCTACCCTGTTTCTTCACACTTCTTTAAGCATCTCATTAAATGGGATGAATAATAATTATTTGTTGATTAGTTCTCTATAAGCATAATACTTTTAAGTGTAGAAGGTATGATACTGTTCAGGGGTTAGAGTTGAGGAAATTCATTGGTTCCTTGAATCACAGGATATTCTGTGTTTTATGAAATCTCTTCTTTCAGCCATGGGTGGCTTTTTCTTTCAGATTTACATCCTGCCTTTCAAATCACATTCAATTACTTTTCAGCTACTATCCCACTGCCCTTATTTTACAGTTTTCTTTCCTGACATTTGAACTTTAAATGTCTCGTGCTTCAGTTAAGGTCTTCTGTCAGTCCCTACACCTTGGTTGGATGACTTCAGCAATCTCAGATCAAGAATTGCATTATTCCACTGCATATGTTATATGCATAACAGAGAGTGACTTGTCTTGATCTTTTTTCCACTTTTTTTGAGAACAGCCAGGAAGCTAATCTGGCCTTGTCTATAAATACATCTCACTTCTCAGGTCCTCAGGTCAAAAGATGATTTCCTTGTCCTTCCTGATAGCATAATTTCTTATGCAGGCCAACTTGACTAACTTGTTTTTATTCTCCAGCTCGACAGTGCTGATGAATGCTCTCCTAGCATTACTAAAAAGACCAGTGAAGTTCTTGTTAACTTTTGATTTTAAGGTTCAGGATCACAGATAAGCTTTTTTGCCTTTTAAGACAGGCAAAAAATTACTGCCTGGCAATGGACTGCTGAGAAAGAAAAGAAAAGAAAAATGTTATATTTGCTGTTAACAGTTGGACTTAAAAATAACCAAAGATGGGGGAAAAACATTTTAGAAGGTGATGTTCTGAGTGAAAAATTATAACAGAATAAGTATACTTTTCATAAGTTATATAGGAGGGATTTGAGAAGTTCAGTAATGAAATACACTGGCATTAAAAAAAAAAAAAAAAAAAAAAAAAAGAAAGAAAAAAAAAAAAAAAAAAAAAAAATTTGAAGCTGCACATATGTCTTGACCAGAAAATTATCACAGCTCAGACAAAGTCAGGTTGTATGCCTGACTTTTAAAGCAGGAAGAATGGCCAGAATTTATGGTAAAAAATTCATATTCCTAACATGGTGTTGTGATGAGAGACAGTTATGGATGCATGAATTGTAATTGTATGCACATATAGTAATATTAAAAGATGTAAGGAATGCTACTAATTCAGCACTTAAAGTAGATCCAAGAATGAGGATCTCATTTTTGACAAGTATCCTCCAAGATCTTGCCATTGTGAATTTCTGAGACATGTATCCAACACCCTGTCAATTTATTTTGTCAAAATATTTAGAGGAGAGGGCCTAGAGATGGTCTTCCTTGAAATCTGGATCTCATTAGTGTAGTTTCTTCGGGTCTTTTAGAACTTCTTCAGATATTATCCTCAGGAAGACAATGGCCTTTTAAATTTGTTCACCACACATGGGTCCTGATTCATGAGAGGGCTCTAAGAGTTCTCAGGGCTCTGCTATATAAACAATTTTCTACAAAGTATGAAACCATCTCTTCTGTGAGAATAATTTTACATCAATGACTCTATCTTATGGTATCCAAGGGAGATTTTATATTTTTCCTGCATTAGTGAATATGCTAGTGTGAGTTATATTACTTGTGCTGTAGTTGGTATCCAAGAACTACCACACCACTTCAGTATCATTAAGGATCATTTAGGTTGGAAAAGACCTTTAAAGACAATCTAGTAAACTGTTAACCCAACAATGCCAAGTCTACTCCTAAACCATGTCCCTAAGTGCATTAGGCAGCTCCTGCTCTGTGGCTGTGGTGGGCTTCACTTAAATGCCAAGTTTTGATGAAAGGTGTGTGCTGAGGATGAATGCACACATTAGTCATTTGTCTGCAGAAGGATGTGGGACCATGGCCTCATCACTCAGTCCTTTGAGCCAGAGCCTCCTCCAGGACCCCAGCATCTTCTGCTGAAGCACTTTTGGAATGAGCAGGACTTTAATAGGATCCTTCAATTGGCTTTATGCTGGAGGGCCTCTATTTGAGCAGCTCATCACAGCCTCACATTACAGATAACACAGAACTGGTCAGCTGAAACATGTCCATTTCTTCTTCCATTAAGCAATAACATAACCAGGTAGGAGTTAGATGAACTGCATCCTAAATTTTATTCATTCTGATTATTAAATCCATTGATTATAGTAGGAAACTAGACAGCTGTGCCCATTCAGTCAATAGCTGGTTGTCTCCTCAGTTTGCAGTGAAACAAAGGAAGTGCATAATCTGGTTTCAAACTGGTACGGAAACATTTATTATCACCATACCTTAGCATTGCATTGTTTAACCCTAGGTTCAGAAAGTATTCTGCAACTTGTTTATATGATTTTTTTTCCTACCAAATGCAGATTTTAGACTGTCATCAATGGTGGATGATTAGACTCTATGAAATGGAAAGTCTAGAGGAGGCAGTTCACAGTCACTGTACCTCTCAGTGCTTCTGATACTTTCTGATATGTACAGGAGTTGACATAAATATATTTCTTCTGCTTGTTTCTTTTCTCCCTCTTTAGAGTTTTTCTTTAAATTAGTACAGTACTTTGAAGGTAGATTTTGTTTTGATTTTTGATATTAACATGTGCCTATAACACATTATTGCTAAGATTTGAAGATTTATTCGATTCTATCTGTCCTGGAGTTTGCAATAACCATATTGAAGTAAACTGCTAAGGAAAACTTTGATATTTTTATCATTTTATCACTTCTGTGTTGAACTTTGCAGTAACCTATGAATTTAAAAATAAAACAACAAAGTCTATCAGATCAACGTAACTTCTTTCTACAAATTTGATGCTACCCTAATTAAATAAGAACTGATTCCAGGTCAATACAAAGCACTGAAGGGTGATTGATTGAGAGTATGCTTGTTTTGGCTCAGCCTCTACAGCAATGGCAGTCTCTGATTACTGTTAAGATGTGAGATACTAGACTGCTGGAGAGGCACTTAACTGTCTTTCTCAGTAGTCAGCAGTACTTAAACATTTCTGGCTTTGATTCTTCCTATGCAGATTTTGTATTGTGTTTTTATGCTGTTTTCTTCTGAGACATAAGAATTTTGCAGGTCTGCAGCAGTGATTTAGTTAGATGTGATGAGGTTCAGGTCTGCAGCTAAACTGGATTGAACTGGAGTGGATTCAGGTGTTGTCAAGGGTTCAGCCTTATTACGATAGTCTAATTCTTGAGGTCACTTATTTTCAGGTTTTTAGTAGTTCTGTTAGCCTTTTCACATCCAGGTAAGCTTCTTTATAAATGTATATGGGATTTATAAATCTTAGCATTCTTTCTTATTCATTAATCAGAACTCAATATCTGTTGCTCATAAAGGTGATCTTTGCAATATGCACACAATTCGTATCAGATGTCATGTTAAAATACAACTAGTGATTGAGGACAGTTTCAGAGGACGGACTCCCTCCTTACCTAGCAGCCCTCCTGTTGAAGAAATTGGAAAGTCTTTTGCATTAGTTAGGAATCTTGAAGATATGGGAGGAAAAGGTTTCTTGATGGAGTCATGTAACACTCTGTTCTCTGTGAAGCACAAGCTAGTATGGTACGACTTACACTTAATAATTCATAAAATAACAGTTCTGAAACCTGCTCAAGCAAAATTCCTGTGGTTGGGCTGAAAGTATTCTGTTGTCTCTGACTTTCATGAGTTAAGTGAAAGCACCAGAAAAGATAATCTTAAGAATGATCGTGCTATTGCAATATGATCTGTTATTCTGCAAACGTGAACAAGCAGCAGTGCAATTCTTGAAATGGGCACCTGTGGTGATCAGTATATCCAGAGGAGTGAAAATACTTTCCATTCTTTTTAACACCTTTTATATAAAGATTAGTTGGCAGTCTTTGCTTAAGGCTCCCTCAAGGAAAGAAAGATGTGCTTTATGATACTAATTAGGTTGGTAAAAGAAATTGAGTAATTTGTACTTCTTTTAATTGTAAAATCTGCATGTCTCATCATTGTCTTATGGAAAGAAAAGTGATTATTTCCAGTAAAAAAATAATTAAGAAAAAATTGAAATGTGAAAGCTTTGTAAAGTTTTTTAAAATTTGTTTTTAAAGTTCAGATTTATGTTCAGATATGCTTCTGAGTATTTTTTAAATTTGTATTTTAAATTAATCCAAAGTTTAAGTAATCAAATATTGAAAGATGGGGAAGTAATATGAAATCTCACTATTTCCATTGGAAGGAATTAATTCCCCAGTAATTTTTATTTGTTACAGAGTTGTTTTAGTCAGCTGTACTCTGATAAAAAATGCCACTTTTAATCAGCCTCCTTGCCAATCATAATTCCCAATTATATGATTAGTGGAAGAAAAGCTCTCTGTATGTGACCTCATTAGGGCACCTCATTATGTGAAAGGAAAGGAGGATTTAAAATCTATGCGGTGAAAATGACAAGAATTTGCAATGTGAAAAATAAAATACAGGTTTTCCAAAACAACAGAGTTTATTCTGACTTAAGCTGTTAGCAGAAGTACAAATTTATAGAATAAATAGAATACTATTTTAAGTAACCCTGGAAGGAGCCTCTGTGAGCACTGGGATGAGTTGTGCCATGCTGCATGTGGTCCCCCATGGAGAGGCATAACTTTAATTGCTAATTCAGTCTTCAGTATTTGTCAGTTCAAAGATCCAAGTGTTCACATCTGAGAAACTACCTTAGTTTTAAAAATCTTTATTTCTGATTCATAAAATGCATATTGCTATAAAATTTGAAACTAATCACTTCTTTTTGCTCCCCTCCCAAAGAGCATCTGGGTTAGCACCTACGTGTTTACAATATGCTTTGCTGCTAATGTGGGACTGTTGTATGGCGTTGTCTGCACTATAGCAATCGTGATTTTCCGCTTTCCCAGGTAAGAAGCAATTTATTAAAATGTTCCACTAGCACTTCATTATGTATTCATTCTGCATATTGCTTCACAGTCAGGATAGACATACGGTATACTAAAACTTCAGTGTTTTAGTTGCAGAAAATTTCAAGATAAGACAATTCAAAAGTAAAAGTCACATCTGTCCATTTACCATAGACTATGGAATCTCTAAAACATTTTATTAAATGGCATTATTTTGTGATTTTTCTTGTTATGACACATCTGTAGGATTGATTATGTGAAGGTAGCATCAAATAAACTAGAAGATTAAAAATATTTATTTCCATTAGATATTTATTTGCTCCTTAAGGAAAAAGTATGTCTGGCAAGCTTTAGGAACTGAGAGCTGTTATAAACTCCTAGGTACTATGTTGCACAGGAGTTGGTAGTTGACAATTGCACTGCTAATATAGTTTAATGAAACATAACTGTACAACTATTCTAATGTCTAACAAAAAGTGTAAGTTCTATGTATGACTTAGAAAAGTCAGAACAAACAAAATAGAGCAATCAGAAGTTGTTTTTTGGGTTTTATTTTAATATATTACAGTTGCTACTTTGGATAATGAGTAAAAGGAAATATAGCTGAGGTTCATGATTTATTTATGCTATAGAATTAATTCACAACTCACCAGTCCTGGAAATGACTTGCTGCTTGTATGCAGTTGTTTGCATGAACACTGAATCCCACTGAAATTAAGCACAATATAGACACCTTGATTAAATACTTGTTAAAGTTAATGGTGTTAGACATGTGTGCACAGCTCTATTCTCATAGAATAAGTTGCAGAACCAGCATGAAAATAGTTCAAAATTTCAAGGCAGTTAAAAATTATGAGAGATTGCTTCTAATTGAATCAATCAGTCCTTTTGTGATAGCATTGTGCTACTCCACAAACTAAATTTTTGTTAAATTCTGTAGTAAAGCAAAAGGCAAGTTTTCATGGTGCTTTTGTCCTGAGCCTGGATATTAGAGGTTCTCCAATGGCAAAAACGGATGAATATCTAACACAAAAGAGCCTGATCTAGTGGAGACCTCAGTCTGAGCCTGCACTTATTAATGTAAATAAGACTCTTCCCAGTGATCTCTGGGATCTTCAGTAAAGCTGTACATGGTTGTCCATACCATCTAAAGGCATTGAAGAAGGTATCAGCCTTAAAATTGGCACAGCACAGATGGAGTTAACAAGATAACATATAGTAAGCCATGCAGTCATGAGCAGAAGTGTTAGCAGAAGTGAAGCAAGGAAAACACCATAGTTTATTTATTGTAAAGTCTCTGTTCAGATGTCAGGGTACTGGATGTGGTACATAGTATGTATCAGAATGTATTAAAACCAGGAGCAGCTACAGCTTCATTTATGTAAAGATGAAAAAACAGCTGATGTTTGCAAGGCTGATTTATCTGGCCCAATACCTGCAAATACTCCTTGTATATTGGTGCATCTGTGCCAGAGGATAGATAGTATCGTAGTCTTCTGAGTCTTCTGCAGTTAAATGTGTTCCTGTAAATGACATGTTGAATCAGAAGATACTAACACTGAACTCCCTTTCCAAGGCAATATTCTCTTTTCTCTGTGTAGAGAGCATAGGAACACTGGTGCTTTCTAGTAAGTCCCCCATTTTGATAGCTAGGATGCAATGTTCTGCTTCATCATGTCAAGATGTGTCAATTTCCATGACAAATAAAATATCTTTGTTTTTCATAACCAACACCTATTCTACATATTTATTTTCCCTTTCCTTACAATATGATTTTACAGATAAAAAAATATTAATTAACCTTCTTTACTTTTGCAGATATAGATTATATACAAGCTACTTTGACTTGAAAGCAGCTCTGGCCAGAAAATGAAAATTAAAATTAAGATATTATTCATAAGAGAATTTAATTAATCATATTTTCAAAGTGATTTCACAATTCTAAAATGAGCTTTTTACTCTTTAAAAGGATGATTAGAAAAGAAAAGGTCTATAATCACAAAAATACTCACAGATTGCATTGTGGGGCCTTTAAATTGCTATGCTGTAGCTTGGGGTGTGTGTCTTTTTGTTTCTGCTCAAGGCTACTAATGATTAACTGTACAGATTTTTCTCTATATATTGATTACAGAGCAAATACACTGAATTTGAAAAATATGAAAGAAGTGGAATATAAATATAAAGCAGAAGATAATTGTGTAAGTTAATTTATATTTTTACTTTTTGTGTGTGTTTTCCACTAATTCAGATTTGTTTTCTCTAGTTAGTTATCAGATTGTAATTGGGAATTCAAGGGAATGATTTTATGATATGACCACTTGAAATCTAAAGCCAGGCTAATATAATAATATTATAGTTGGCCATCAGAAACTGGAATATTTTCATGGTTCTGCTGCTTGTCTGCAAAGTGAAGTTAGGCAAGTCCTCTTAGATTTATTTATCTTAGTTTATTTGTCATTTTTAGTTATGAATTGCTCTTTCTCAACACTTCCTAATTCCTAAATTTAAGGAAATATCTTGCCGGGAATGGCAAGGGCAATCTGAGCAGACAATAGCAATCTCTGTATTATTATTGCTTTTCCTAAAACTCCTTTGTTATTTTTATCATCTCCAATCTCTTTTCTGAAACCATTTCTGCCACCAACCCCTTGTGACCAGATTGTCCCAGAGGATACCATGAGGCTGGGCAAAGACGGGCAGCACCACAAAATTGTTATAGACTGCTTCACAAATTTCATCACCCTGTGCACATGAAAAATTATGGAAGAATTTCTTCCAAAGACTGTGCCTTTTAAATTTAGCTTCTTACAAACTTAAACCAACCATTCAGATTATTTTGGTTATTTTAATTACAATTACTGTCAAAGTTGCTCTTTGCTCAGGTCTATGGTAAGAAGAGAAGGGTAATCACCCAGAGAGGTGAACTCCCTCCTCCAAGATGAAATAGTAGGTCAGCAGCCAAGAGAGAAGTAGAACCATGTGTCCTTTCAGCACAGAGCCCCATCACCAGGATATCCTGCCTTCCCCACTGTTGCAGTTTCTCCTGTGTCCTTTTTCCCTTCCTAGTGCTGATGAAGGGTGTTACGTATCAATAAATTACATGCTCAGCAGTTAGTGCTTCACCATTAAGCAGATCTTCTTTAAAGAATTTATTATTTCTGGCAAATGTCTTCCATCAGAGCCATCTTGGGCTAAAAATCTGAACTTCCAAGGGCTCAAGGGCATTTACGGTTTTGGCATGCTGAGAAACACTGTAATATGAAAGGTATATAAGAATGGGGATGGCTCTGAAATGGGAATTCAAAACACTGTTGTTGAGGCTGGACCAGCTGTCAATTATTATATCACTTTCCATTCTTAATAAAAACGTTGGAGTAACTTTGTCAGAGACGGATAACCAAAATTTGATTTGCCTGCTATTTTTCATATCGGTTCATGAAGCACTTTGTATAAATGCCTATATATATTTTTTTAAGCTTACTGGTCCCCTGCTTTTTTTCCCCCTAATTCAGTAAGATTAACGCCAGTAACCTAATAACAAACTAATGTCTGCAGACAGTGGGGAAAATAACATTATGTTAGAGAAGCAAATTGCTCAAGAGCTATTACACAAAACAAAGAAGGAAAATATGCCCTTTAATTGAATTTAGAGTCACTGGGTTGCAGCAGGCATTTAGGGTAATTTTTAATGTATGAATGTTAGACTGATCCAAGTTTCCCTGGTAAGTAACAGATTAGACATAAACAACAGGACTTTTAAACATGAAAATATGTAAGCTTAATGATCTACCCTGCCATTAAGGTCTGTGGATTTATAGGGGTTGTTTCATCAATAAGAGAAAAGACACTTTAATGTGGAAAAAAATCAAAGGGTATTTAGAAGCTTATGTGAAACACATTTCATCACAGGCATTCCCTGGCACTGAACTCGTACCCGAGCAGAGCCAGTGCTGTGCTGAGTGCACAGGGCAGTCGCCCAGGGCTGTCCGAGTGGTGGCAGGAACAGACACGCGAGATAAATTTCCTGCTTTCTTAGCAAGGACACAACAAAGAGGAAGTTTGTTTTTCTCTAAACAGTTCTTGTTAACAAAGAGGCAAATTAGAGCCAGGAATAACTGGCTGGTCAAATTTAGGCACAGTTGATCTTGTCCATTCTGGACAAAAATCATACCTAAATCTGCCATCTGCTTGATCTGGCCTTATGATTTGAACCTTTCAAGTTTTGGACCTTGTAGTTTTGGAAGCTTGATCATCACAGGATTTGATCTTTGCACATCATTTCTAATGTTTTATCTTCTACTTTGTCATGGCAATAAAGCGTCCACTTGTCTCCACACCAAGCTGTATATAGCATCATTTTTGTGTGAGTCTGTGGGATGTCAGAGCATTTCTCCATTCAAGCATATACCATCCTTCATTTTGCCCTTATTTTAGAATTCTATTCCATACAAACTGAGACATTTTAACTGCCAGTTGAGTTTTTCCACGTGTCTCACTGGCAAAATTCAACTGTGGTATTTACTGCAATCACACCCATAGGCAAAATCCCTACACGTAGTCTGGGCTTCTTTGCCTCAGTTTGGGATGTTTGAAATATTTCCTTTATTTCATGGTCACTCTTGTGGTATCTGAGAGATCATGTCATCCCCAGAAGTCTGAACAGTAGTCTACAATAAGGAGATAGTTTATGTGGTCTGTGGTGAGATTTCCATTACTGTTTTGCGCGAAAGTCTGTTGGGAAAACTGCATATCTTCAATGCAATCCCAAGCAATTTTTAACTATCTAAAAATGGTCTGTGTTGACTCCAGTTACTTGTGTTTGACTGTGACCTTGTTATGCGACTTTTGTTAGGAAGAAAGAGAGTATTTTTCGACCTATATTCACTTGCAAATTCTTGATTTTTGCTTCCATTGTCATACAGCCTGTGGAAGATTGGGAGCTCAGTAGAATTAACTTCTACAGAAGTTCCTCTACAAAACCAGTCTTTAAGCATGTCTTGCTGCTGTCCAATATTAATTTTCTTACTGGCTTTTGAAGAAATTTTATATGTACACCTTGAGAGTGAGAGAAATAACACTTGTTTTGTGCAAAATATCTCCCACTTATACTTGGGGGTTTCTGAACATTAGCTGGTGTCCTTCCAAAATTGTTCTGCTGTGTAACATTTACGTTTTGAGCTACACAATCTGACTGGAGGTGCTGGTAAACTGATTGTAGCTTATTCAGTGAAATGCAGAGACAGGTTCAAGGGCAACGGAGAGTTATGTAGGTTATTGTGTTGGTTATAGAAATGTGCTGGTAAAGCTTTAAATGCGCCACTCAAGGTTGATCTAGATCCACTAAGTATTTTCATGGAAAACTATCTCTGTCCTAAGGTCATCTTCAGACAATCAAGATGAATGTTGCCAGCTTTCCACAAACTACCTGCAGTGTTTGCCCTAAATTCTTGTGTACTTTTTCAAGATGTGTTTGCTAATAAAATGTATTCCTTGTCTGCAAATGTTACCTTGCCTATGCTTTGGGATCAAATCAACTATAAAATATAACATGCTATTATAGTTGTTAGCTAATAGTTCTTAGTATTATGCTTCATAATGTGTATGTTTTTTTCATGCTAAATGCCATTATAGATAATTTTTGTTATATATTACTTGTATTTCCATTCTTCAGTTATGTGTGAAGGCTCATCAGTAGAATTATCTGTTAAATCATTCTCACAATCCAAATACAGTTATTTTCAGAATTTTTAAAGAAATTAGTCTGGGGTTTGTTTTCCAAATCCAAGATGAATTTTTCAGTATTATGTTTATTTCATTCCCCAGGAATCACTAAAACAGGTAAAAATAGTTTCAGTCAACAGCCCATTAGTCTTTTTGAATGCCAGAAAATTTCACGCTGACCTGTTAAAGATAATCCAGAAGGATGGCATGAACAGCCAGGTAGGTGATATTGTAAACAAGGTGGGATGTCCCTTACACTTCAGTAATCACTGTGACTAGGTTGAAGATTGTATTTGCTTTCCTCGCATTTCTTAGAGAATTCAATCATATACTGAAAAAGGTATAAAAAAGTAACATTAGAAATTATTAATTTAGAATAAAGCTAATCCTAATCTTAATCAGATTCAATATGGACTATTTCTGTATTATTACTTGAGAATAATATCTCTTCTGTTTCTGCATGTGATTCTGTAAGAGACATTAAAGCACTGATCCAAAACTCAAAAATTTCTAGAAGAATTTCCATAAAATCAGATTATATAAGGCTGGGATTTTAGAAAGACAATGAGTAGCTACATATATGCTTGAATAAAATGTGATTTTTGTTTTCTGGAGATCAGTCCATGAGAGATGGACATTTCACTTCTATCTATAAATAATTTTTAGAGAATTAGGAAGAAAGTGGCTCCTTTTTTTTTCCTCAATGGTATTGTCTCTTTTTCCTCTTTTGCACTGATCATATTAGAGAAATAAATAGTATACAAATTATATATATCACATTTTTTGAGAATATCCCTGTAAATATAGTATTTTCCAAGTTCATCTGCATGGATGAACTTCCTGCAACACTTCCTAAAAGGGAAAATATAAACTATCATTTTTCTATCAGTACCATGAAGATACTCCAATAGGATTGTCATGGTTTTACACTGGCACAATGCCAGCACCCCTATGAAAATACAACCCCCAAATGATTTGCTGTGAGATATGATCAGGAACAGAGCAGAGCAGGCCCAAGCTTAATAACAAGGGAGAAACTTTATTAAACTACTACTACTATAAAAGGAAAAAGAAAGAAACAACACACACTAAAACCAAAATTAAAACCTTCCAAAACATTCCTCCTCCTGCCCCCACAATTCCAACAAACCACAGTGAGACACAACCTGGACCCCAATCAGGTTCTCACCCTCCAGATAATCTATACTCAGTCCATCGAGGGAGAGAGGAGTCCCTCCTGTGCCACAGACCCCTCAAAAAACACAGCTCCACATCCTGTGTTTCCATGTCACACATGGCACCGCCCGGAGAAAATCTGCCAGTGTGACACTCTCCTTTCCATGCACAGTGCTCTCACCACCGTGCATGGACAGACTGCTCATAGGATTCTTCTTTTCAAGGATGCTTTGCCAAGAGGAAAAAACCCAACAGTTCAGCTTTTCATTTTTGGGACTTCAGTCACCCCCATTTCCCTCTGGGGCCAAGGGTCCAAGAACAGAGATCTTTTTCTCTTCTTCTCTGAAGACAGGTGGCATCACCACAACCCTCCTCAACTTTTCTCTGTTTGCTCTACTTCTGTCTTTTTCTCAGCTGCTGAAGCAGGTCTCTTGGCTCACCACGCATCCTCCTAATATACAGTCTCTCTTGGAGGAGAAAATTGGTTCAGTCTATGGCTAACAAGAAAAAGTCAAGCCAAAAGCCACTCCATCATCTTCCCCCCACAACCTTGTTTTCATAACATCCCAGATCCCAGGCTGTCTCTCTTCCTCTCTTTCAAGCCGAGGAGGAGTGAAATTTCAGAAAGCTTTCATTTCCCAAGAAAGGGCTAAAAGTCCCAACTCCCTGGATGGCTCTCAGCCCAGGCTCCAGCTCCCACACTGTTCCCCCCCTTCCACCTCCTCTGCCGGTGTACTGCTGGCATTGTTGCTGTCTCTTTCTCTCTCTCGAGAGAGAGACACTGGGGGGAGAACAGAGACATCCTCCACCCTTCCATCTGCAGGGGCCAGCCCGGTTCCAGTCCCTTCACCCTTGGGCCCACCTCAGTCAGCCCATGGGCCTTCCCCTCCCCACCCAGCCATGGCAGGGGTGCGGCTGCACTGCAGCTGACCGGAACCAAAGAGAGCGAGTTCCCCTGGGAATTCTGCTTTTAACCTCTCTGTGTTCTCAGAGGCGTGTCCACCTTCAATGATCAGCCCAAGTGTCAATATCTAACCCCAACCACTGATTGGTTTGACCCTCTTCCTTCTGAGAAAATTCTTTTCCGTGTCAAACCACGACAAGGATACTATGCTTACTGTAGACAATTTCATCCAGTTTGGCAAATTGGGCTGAGGAAATCCCAGCTGTGCCTTAGATGGGTTGTTAAGACAGCAACATGTGTCTACCGCCTCTGCTGTCCCTTGACAAAGAGTTATGCTACCCATATGGTATAAATTCAGCTCAGAAAATGTGATGCTTTTTTCCCTTGGTTTTGCTAGGCTGAATGATTTGGCTTAGTATGATAAAAAGCCTCCAAACAGAGAGAAATTACTTAGGATTTGCACGGAATTAATTTGAGTCAATTTAATAAGTTAATTTGTATGTTACTTATAAAGGAGATTTTATCCTTTGTCTCTTCTGTAAGGTACTCAGCAGTACAGCTGCCTGAAACACTGTGTTTTTTTCTTTAAATTTTTTTTTGTTGAGTAAATGTCTTTCTGTAGCACATAATGGGTGTGAAAAAAATGCAGTTTTAATTTTGCTTCTGTGCTCTGTTTTTGGTTTTAACTCATGTTTCCACTGAGAACTAGCATATTGGAATAACTAATATAAAAATTATCCAGATAAATTTAATTATTTAATAAATTTACACATCAAAAATGTTCTTACTAAAATATTAGCATAGCAGATGAGATTGCAGCAAGTAGAAAATTAATCAAATTTAATCTTAAAAAATCACTGCCAAGAATTTTTCTTGTCAAGAATATTTTTCCCATCTTTTGACCACTTCTAAACCACCCCCCCACTTCCCCAAAAACATTGCATCCAGAATTTGCTTTCTAGTATATCCAAATTTGACAGAGGTTGAGTCAGCTAAAAAAAAAATTGCAAAATATCAGTTTGAGTATGTATCTCAGTATTCTTCTAAAGTTATACCAAAAAATATTATATATGCAATAGGCTATTTCATAGGACATGATTTTGGAGTGAAGGAGTTAACTTTGGTACTGAGAAACAGAATTCTTATGTAGTGCATTGATTTTTCTCTTGTTACTGTGCAATGGACTGGTTTTCCTTGGTATGTTAATCATTTGTTGCTTTTATTTCAGTGTGAGCAGAACACATTGCTCTGTTCGTTTTCCAATGGAAGTTGCCATGGTGAGTTTCTTATCTACAAATGTTGTTAAAACCAAGATGGATGTAAGTGTGCAAAATAGTTCCACATTTTTCTATATATTTCTAGGTGCACACAAGTTTTATGGAAATAAATATGTTCAGTTAGACCAAACACTCAATGAAGCATGAATGCTAAACAGTGTTAAATTATGCTAACCTTGGCCTAATAAGTCCTGCTATTCATTCTGGTTTTGACTGATTTTTTAGGATTTCAAAGGCAGGGAACCCCTTGAAAATGCATTTTCTACAGGAGTGGAAGGTTCTATTGGAAATCCCATTGCCCACCACACAGGGTTTGGAACTGGATGATTTAAGGTCCCTTCCAATCCAAACCATCCTCTGACTATGTCCCTGCTTATTGGACTGGAATGTGTGTGTAAAGAGACAGGTACATAGTGGGGGAGTACTTCCCCACTATGTATTGCTGCCTGGACTGATCTACAGACCAGGCTAAAGAGATTGAAGGCTCTGGAACTGGGTGCTTTTGCATGTCAAGTTGAATATTAGTATGAAAAAGTGAAAATAAGATAATAACCATGTTAAATCTTTGGGATCTTTAAAGCCACATAGGAGAAAATCCCAGAAAATTCACTAACTGAATTGTTAGTGACACGATAACCACCAATATTATATAATATATAATAAAAAGCCCTAGGGATTTTCTTTCAAGGAATAAGCTGGAAACTCCACTCTTTCCACATTTTGTAACACTTAAATCAAGCCAGACCATATACGTTCCCATGGGAGAGCTGCAGCAACCTTTTGCAGTGGATACTTTATACAGATTACTTCATTGTGGATAGAATTAAAACAGTGTTTATTTAAAACACTTATAAGCATTAAGGCTGCAGTAGAAAATCTGATTTGGAGGCTGTTGTCTGAATGTTTGAATTTGTCAACTAGACTCAGAACATTTTTATGTCCTAACCACTACAGTGTTTAGTTGACCTTGGGATGACAGAGTGCTTTGCTGTAGTATAGCAGCCTATGAAAATGATTATTGAAGATGATATTGTATTTTATTGACTATATGGTAGAATCTTATGTTTGAGAAGATTGTTCCAGCGCATATTCCAGTCATCTTGAAGATGAACTGGTTTCATATCACAAAACTGACAGAAATCACAAGACCTCTTTTCTGAATGCCTAAGTCCTGCCTTGATGACTTAAATGCTGCCATTACTTATATCAACCACTTACGGCAATTCTTCATGGGGTCTTTTAAATAACAAACACAGAAAAAAGAAAAATCCCTTTAAAGAGAAAAGCAAAATTCTGAACTTACATTTTCAAGGACAGGAGCATGAGGACACAATCCTTAAGCTTTATGGCAGCTGTTCAGGAAACCATAGAAATGTATGTCTTTGCCAAAATCTTTCCTTTCTCCCTTTGGGGAATACAGTCTGTATCAGCACCAAATGAAATGGCCACTCTTGCTCATGCCACTCATCTAAAGAGGGTGCAGGTCTTTACCTATCCCCCCATTTAGAGGCCAGGCAGTCTCTACTGCAATTCAGGATGCAGCAGGCAATTATTACACTGAGCCTGAGAGAGCACATGAACCTTATCAGGGTTTCTCTCACAGTATTTTTCAGTAGCTTCCCTTTAAAATTCTATATTTTTGTTTGGATGTATCTATTAATGTATATTGGACAGTACAGAGACAGTGAATGTCTGGAGATACAAGTCCAAAAGTCTTTGCTCTCAGACGATTGTCAGGAAGGAATTACCACTACTATAAATTTGCATAATGGGGAAATTCCAAGTCCCCTCAATAGTTTAAAATCTTTACCTCTGCTCTGCCAAAGCCATTTAGCTCAACTCATTTTTACAATTAGAATTCCTTTCCTTCATTTATTTTTCAGTTGCATGCATTATGATAGCAAACATTTGCTCACAGAACAATGTAAAGATGATGTGTATTATTTTCTAGTTTTCCCTTTATGAAAGCCATGAATCATTTATCTGTGTGCTAGCTCAGGATGCATTTAGAGCAGAGTATGTTTTGATTATACACAAGATGGCCTGAGGTTAAAGAATTAGGATAAGAACTTTGCAAACCTTACCAACACAATTTTCTTCTCCAGCCTCATTATGTAATTGTGTATTAAAAAATTTTCCAAGCAAAGCCATCATAGTAAAACCTTAGGAAAATGAAATACTCTACATATATTTCTTCCTTATGGGTGAATATTAAGTTAAGCCATAGGCAGGTATTTAGGGCCCATGGAAATCAGTGTCATATCAGAGCTTAAAAGAAAAATAGAAATATTATCTGTTTATACCATGAAAAATGTTCCAAAGAATAGAAGAGGACTCAATGAGAAATTCAATTTGGAAGAAATAATTACTTAATTATTGAGACACTATTGCCTAAAACATCTCAATTAATATATTCTGTCATCACTTTCCATTCCCCTAAAGGTTCTTCATTTGTTCTTCTAAAATATGGCAGTTGCTTTCCTGACACCCCAGCACGTAACAATAAAAATTTTATTGTGATAGTTTGGGCTCATTTTGTTGAGCTATCATCATTCTTATACCCATTTCTTGAGTGTTCTTTTAATTAAAGGTTTTCATTTATCAAATGTGTAGGTGAGTTGGTGCAGCCATGTCACAGTGAGCGACATGTTTTGATATTAGACTGCAGTGGACTGAATTTCTTTGACTACACTGGAGTCTCTGTGCTTCTTCAGGTATTAATGACATTAGAAATATTCTGTATATGTTATACATATGAGTTATTGGGGCCAACTACTAGTCACTCCACCCATGTCAGTGGATAAATCTTTCACCCATAGAAAAGATGAACAGTTTGATATTAAACTGTACAATGTTTATTTATAAAATTACCTTAAAGTATTTCTAAATATTTTGGGTAACAAAGCAAATGTACATATCTATATGTGATGAAGAGGAGTTTTGAAACTTTTCCCTTTTTTTTTTTTTTTTGAGTTGGTTTAAGTCATATTTGATTTGACCCTGCCAAGTCAGTTGTAGAGACAAATAAATTTACTGCTTTAAAATTTCAGCTTTAATTCTGTGATTTTATCTGTATGTTTTACTGTCTTCTAAGCCAGGGGTCAAAACATGATCTCCATCCTTTCTCCTGTGGGCAACATATGTTGCAGACTGGGTTTAGGCAGTGCAAGAATTCCAAGATGCTCCCAGAAGACTAAACCCAGCGGTCACTGGTTAATGTGGTGAATGAAACTAAATCCAGATGGTGGCTGGCCACAGTTGGTGTTCCTTGGGGCCAGTCCTGTTTAATGTCTTTGGTGATGATTTGGACAGTGTACCCTCAGTGAGTTTGCAGATAACCAGGCTGGGTGGAGTGTTGATCTGCTGGAGGGCAGGAAGGCTCTGCAGAGGGGTCTGGGCAGGCTGGATCCATTGGCTAAGGCCAGTTGTGTGAGGTTCAGCAAGGCCAAGTGCAGGGTCCTGCACCTGAATCACAACTCCAGGCAGTGCCACAGCTGGGACAGAGTGGATGGAAAGACACCGGCTAGGGGTGGACTTAGCAATGCCAAGCTAGAGCTTGGACTCCGTGATCTTAAAGGTCCATTCCAACCTAAACAATTCTGAGTCTATGGTTCCACATAATGAACAGTGATATATGCTGGATAAAAAAATTATGTTCAAAACCTGTTTCTTACACTTACATCAAATCTGGAGTTTAAAAGTTGTGTAGTGAGTACAGAGTTAAGTGGGGATGGAAGGTTTGGTTTGCTTGATTTTTCTGACTAAGATAAAGGACTAGATTTGAACTTGGGTCTTGGCCCAGACCTCTTTTTGCCTTAACAATTTTCTCAATTTACTGCAGTGATTGCACAGTGAAGTAAGTGCTGCCTTAAAATATTTTAGATTACACATAAAGGCAGGGATATAATGAAAAAGAAAACTGTAAAAATAAGGTTAGTGGGAGTGACTATTAGCTATCCCTTTGAAATATAGGGCATTCAATATAGTAATAGTTTAGAAATTTGTGAAACTGATTTCCAAAAAGTCTTGGAGACCTCCAAATTACAAATTATGTCAAAGAAATGTTTGTGAGAGGTAAGTCTGCTGTGGGTTGAGAAGTGCATGGGTTGGTAATGCAGCCTCTGGATAAACGGTTGGTCCAAAACCAAGTTACTCTTCCTCCTACCAAGAGGACCACACTCAACACGTCCTTGTTGTTACACTCCTTCCCAAAATATCATCATTGATGTCAGAGACAGAGGATTTTTGAACTAAGATTTTTGCTTTATTTTAAAAATAGAATATTCTGGTGGGGTTCTCACTGAATCACCTCTCTCAGAATTTTTCTACTTCACATGGATAATTTAAACATTTTTTGAAGCAGCAACTGCTTTGGATATTTCCCATTTGGCAGAATAATGCCCTACTCTCGTTTTAGAGTTTTGTTGTTTTTTTGTTGTTGTTGTTTTGTTTGTTTGTTTGTTTTTGGGTTTTTTTTGTTTGGTTTTCTATCTTATTAATATTTTGTCTCTGGGGAGTTGAACACTTTCAAAGGAAGAATAAAGAACAACTTACCACTGAATGAAGCATTATAGTTATGGTGCTTTTTTTTTTTATGTAAGTCTCAAAGTTTTCTAGGTCTGATTCCTGTCTGTGTGGACTGTTACTAAGCATATAGTACGGACATGAGAAAACATGCAGAAAAAAGAGAAAAGGAAAAAATACCCCTAAAAATTACAGTCAGAAGTTGCAAAATTATTAATCAAATTCAGTTTTAATTCTCAGCAGAGCTGTAGAATACTGTAAAGAGTTGGCAGGAAATAAATGTGATGTTTGCATTATAGAAGGGCTCGCTCTGGTGGCTGCTGGCAGTATAGCTGCTTTTTCTACAGTACTTTCTTCTATGTCGGTATTTAAAACAGTTTTTAAAAAAATTTCTTGTTTTCAAACATAGATTTACATGGACTGTAAAAACAGATACATCGATGTGTTGCTAGCACACTGCAAAGGCAAGTATCAGCTTACAGTAAAAAATTTAACATGAGGGTTTATATATCTTCACTACCTTCTCAGTGCTCATGTGTTTGCTTTATTGCAGGTTCCTTGATAAAAGCAATGCAGTACGGTGGAAATCTTGACTCTGAAAATCCTGTATTTTTTGAATCTATTTCTTCAGCAATTGATGCCATTCAGGTTCACAGGGTAAGACTTACAAACAGAAGTAGATGAAGCCTGGAGGGCTCCTTGGATGCTCACAGCAATTGGTTAAAGTCTGGGAAAGTCTTATCCACCCAGTGAACCTTTTATGTAGAAATCTTTTATCTGTCTGTAATCTACAACTGGTTCTCAGCCTGAGGAACGCAGTTTTCCATTTTTTGCTGCTATCAGTCTCTTCCCATCACTACATCTCCTTTTGCAACAACGTCTCGATCTTCTATGATAGATCCAGAGGTGCTGTGTCGTGCTGCTTTAATCTGGGCTCATTCTCCGCTGGAAAGATTTAGATCATCTAGAAACACTCAACACAGCCTCTCAGTGAGACAAATTAACTCACAGCCAGTTCTGCCACACGCCTGTTTCTCAGCCTGGGATGCTTGAAGCTGCTTTACACATCAGAGCACGGGTCTGACTGAAATGGTTCTGGATCCCCAGCTAGTTTGGTCTGAGTTAGAAATCTTGTCTCTGCCCTGCATTGTACCATGCTGTGTTGGCTCACTGGTGGAAAGAGGGGAATTGCACAAAGTAGAAGAGAGAGCAAGAGGGAGAAGGGAGGCTTGATCATCTGTTTACTTGCTCAATGATTCTTGCATTCCTTTTTAAAATGACGGTAAACCTGGACTTTCCTCTTGAACTATGTGATCCATTTCCACAGCCATGGCAGTGGGAGGGTGCATGAAAAGCAGTGTGCTTTCCTATGGTTTTATTTATGATTCAAACATGCCTACAGCTTGGCTTAGAGCCTTCTCCAAGAGACATTAAACTCATCATAGTCTGTGGTTTGGTAGTTTGTCTTTTTTTCTTCACTTTGTATTTAACTAATTAAATCAAACTTGCCTATGGACAAAACCACTTTCCATTGATTTATCCAGATTAAGGTGAGTTGGCACAGTTGGTCTAGTGAGTTGACCAGAAAAACATGTTCTCTTGAGTGCTTTTCAACATTTTTCATTATGTTGTCCTACAAAAAATAATTTGTTGAAATGATAACTGCAGGGCAAAAAATAATGGAGTTGGCTATTGCATATTTTATCTGGGTCTGATTAGATGAATTAGAACGATTGTTATGTTATAAAATGTCTGCATTTTTTATTGGCATTAACTTTCCTAACATTCTTGTAAGATATTTATGTACTAGCATTCCCATTTTATGGAACTGGGACATGGATAGACTAGGACAAACGTTCATAATGAAAAGGGGGAGTTAAAATTCAAAGTCCACTTTTTAAGGAACTGATTGATTGTTTCTATCATAGCTGCTAGGCAAGTCAAACCTATGCATAGTGGCTTAGCAGTTTAGTCTGAAAGGCTTGCATGCAACCTTAAATTTTAAATGTAATTATGAACAGTATACATATACTGCTGATGTTTCTTCAGAACATTCACAGTATGTGCTTCAGGGATTTTTACGTATTCATTGTGTTGAACACTGGAAGATAAGGTGGATAGGAGTGAAAAGACAGGGTGACTGCAATAGCAGCAGCACACTGTAGCTACCAGTCTATGTATTCCTCCTGTGCCTTTTTAAGGTGCTGAGATCATTAGGACTTTTGAGTGTTAACATGGCAGGATAGGCAGAATAGGATAGAAAAAAAATACGAGGAAGGAGTTAGAGACTAACAGAAAGTGATTTGTTCCGATTTACACTTCAGCCTCACCATATAGCAGGAAAGTCTTCCACTGTCAGAAATGTACAGGTAAGAGGGCTTTGTCATTTTCATCTCTGCTGCTGTTCAGAAATGCAAATATATTGTAATCTACATGCTCCAATGAAAACATTGAGTCATTCTTATTTTTATGTTTATAAATTTATAAGATACTCGCCTATTACTTTATGCAGTTAATTTTAACCATAAATAACCTTTTGAAATATTACTGGCATTTTCAAGCTATCATTTTTAATTTTACATTATATTCTGGGAAAACATTATAATACTTTTTTCCCTGTTTCTTTCATTTTAGAATTACAGCAAGTTCAGTGAACAGAGTGAAGTGTGATGCCCACCCATGGAGCATAGCGAGTTTCATCTACTCATACGCAAAATTAACTACATCATGGCTTCTCATTCGCTTTTTTCTCCAGTGGATCTCATAGATGATCTTTTGTATGCCATATATACTTAGAACATTCAGTAACGACAGATCTGCCTTTCAGAGAGAAAAATCTTTCAGCTGTGATCACTCAGAGAATTTTTATGCAGTAATTCTATAGTGGTTTTATAAAATATTTTTATATACATTTAGATACAAGTTATTAGAAAGCAGACATGATGTACTGTGTTTACCAATTAAGTGTATTCTTTTAGGTATCTTCTATTGTAACATTAGATGTAATATGCATCTGTAGTTTTGTGTATGGAATAGAGACATGAATTCTTAAAAGAGTATGTTATAATTGATACAGGAACTGCAGGAAGGTATACACCAATGCATACTTTTTTATAATGGCTTTACTTACTCCTTCCTCTGTTCAAGACGGCCATATGCAGTAACAGCATCATATCACAGCTATCATATGGTTCCCCTTTTTGTACTTGGTTTTGTATGCTTTTTAATGCCTGCTCAGATTAGTAGGAGAACTTGCAAGTATATGCAGAAAAGGCAGACACATGTTGGCTAAGAACACTGTATTGTTTCCCTCTATATTTGTTGTCTTGTGCTATTATGGTTTGCTACATTTTCAAAGCCACAGGTGTTTTTTAGCTCAGTGTGAAGAGGAAAAACTGGGGTTTTTTTCCAAAACTTATTCTTTTTTCCAGCACATTTTTTCCAGTCTACATTTCCAGTTTGATCTGTGATTTTTTTTGGTGTTGAAATCTTCAGCTGAGGCAGCTGAAAGGTGACAGTAGTGACACATAAGGTGTGTGCCACACTTCAGCCACACTCCTGACGTGCAGTATACTCTGTGTGAGCACACAAAGTAGGTGGAGGATCTCACAGGTTGAGTATTTGGTTTATATTTATGGGTTGTCAGCAATCGCATTAGATTATACTATCACATAGCTATCATGTTATTTGGCAATATATTAAGGCTTGAAGGAAGCCTACAAGAAACATAGAGACTATTTGCAAGAGCATGTCATAATAGGACAAGACGGAATGGCTTCAAACTGGAAGATAGTAGGTTTAGATTAGATATTAGAAGAAAAATTATTTACTGTGACAATGGTGAGGCACTGGAACATGTTGCCCAGAGAAGTTATGGATGCCCTGACTCTAGAAGTATTCAAGGTGAGGTTGGAGGGAACTTTCAGCAATTTGTTCTAAGGGAAGGTGTCTCTGCACATGGCAGGGTGTTGGAATCAGATGATCTTTAAAGACCCTTCAAGCCTAGGCCATCCTATGATTCTACATATGATTTTTCTCCTCTTGCCTTTGTCCCCTTATGTGAACACCAACAGTAAAATGTGGGTTGAGCAAAAATGAATTAAAATTAACAAATGAGAAAGATAAGGAAATAGGGGGTTTTGTTTTGTTTTGTTTTGTTTTGTTTTTCATCAGCTTAAAAAATCTATGGAAGCTAAAGGCTAATTAATATGGCACAGCCATAATGGCCATCTACACTACAGAGAGGAGGGAAGTACAAGGAGGCTTTGTGCGGCTGACACATATAGGCAGAATCTAGTTCTAAGCATTCTGTTTTCAGCAGCAGTTACATCTGTATGCTTGTCTGGACCCTCCTTGCTCTGTCTGCCCAAAGCTGCTGCCAGCAGGAGATGAGGTGGGTCATGAAGTCACTTTTGCATCTCTGCATAGTTAAGACATTGATAAGTTTTTCTTAAGTCTTGGTCACTCTACACTAGTAGATGATAATGGGAGAGAGCCATGGGTTTTTTGCCCTTTCAATTATGAGTGACTCTTGAGTTATTTCCTGCTTTGTCCCACAGAGGACCAGAAATGTTCTGTACAAGTTCTTCTGAGACTGCTTTGGTAATTACTATGCAAAAGGCTGATAAGTAACTGTGAGAATCTCATTATATGTAGAAGAAATAAATTCTATCTATTGTCCCAAGCACATTAATTTCAGATGCTGTAGTTGATTGCAAATGGCTCATTACATCACTGGACTCAGTAACAGGCTATAACATTTGATTAATAATTTCCTGAAACAGTTCTAGTAATTTATTAACACTTTAGAAACTATTTACAATGTACTTTAATTGTAGAAGCATCAATTTTATGTCACAGCTGAATGGAGATTTCTACTTAACTGCAAAGTGAATAAATGAATAAATTATATCTTTTCTACTAGGTTCAGCATTTGCTCGTTGACAGCTAAATGTTTTTTCTGAAAATTTATAGATTAATTGATTAATGAAATTGTTAAAAATAGAGTCTTTAGCAAAGATAACATCATTGACTTTTCATGGGACTTTTGCTTTTATTCTGAATGATCTTGTAAATGGAACAACACAGATACTTTTAAAATTCCTTGTAGTATTAGCCTTTTAAGAAACCTTCTGCATTAAATAATCAATTTTGTAGCACTTATCAAAACAGCTTCTAGTTTTTACTGCTTTCAATAGGAAAAATTTTTGTTCAGTTAGATGGCTAGTTTAGGGAAGAACATTTATCTCCCATTAGCTCGAACCTTCCAACACCGGGCTTTGGGGTAATATTTCTGTAAACTATTTTGCTATATATAATTAGTCTAAATAGATTTCCATTTCTGAGATTATGCATTGTTAATTATATTCCATGTCTGGCAAGTGGCATCACAAGTGGCATCAGCAGAACAGTGTTTAAGGGACATGTGAAGATAACTGCCCTTTCAATTTCTTCTAAAATACCTGTACTGAGTTTAAGCTCTGTCAAACCAGAACTGCTCTACAGACCTATGGGCAGTGAGGGAGGGAATGTGATTTCTTTTCTTTTTCTTGGAAGAGCAAATTGCAAATTACAAATTACTGATGCAGTTTCCATTTCTCCCCCACCCACCCTTCTGAGCTACTGATGTTTACTAAAATGTGTGACTGAGCATTGTCCATCTTCAAATGCCTGGGAGGCTGTTGCCATCAAACCTTGTGGACTGCCAGCTGGTGACTGGGTAGTCAGCTGGTGGGATGGGAGTTGCTTCATGTGCTCCCTGAGTTCCTCTCTGTAATCCCTAGTGATGATGTGTTTGTGCCACTCGCAGAGTCAACTGAGAAACAACTGCTTCATTCTTTGGTGAAGATTTAAGGAAACACCCTCAGCCTTTTGGATAAAGTTTTGGAGGCAATCCCCACTATCAATTTCGATTTTTCCCTCAGTGCTTTTTCATATATAGTGTCTGGCCTTCCTCTGGCTTTCAGAATAATTATGTAAAATATGGAAGCCCAACCCAAAACATCACAATTATCTTCACTGGAACAGAATTAGAGTAACATTTGAAAGAAACCAGCTGCAATCATCTAGAACAACTGCTGTTAATATAAAAGAATATCATATTTAGAATAAGCCATACTTATTCTTCTGATCCAGAAGGGCAAAGGGAGCCAAACTCATCCTGTAGCAAAGAGCCTGCACAAAGTCTGTATGTCCTTATGGCTGTGCAGGCTTGGCCACTATCCCAGTGGAGGTGAATTACAGGCAGGAACCATAAGGGGTTTAGTTATTTGTGCTCTGCTGCTACAGCTTTGTTTACTTGAACGTCCCTAGGGACTCTCCAGAATAATGCATAGTTTCATTAAGTGTGGTTACATCTGTGAGCCTATGCAGTGTTAGCAATAAGAGCAAACTGTAGAGTTCCCTCTGTCCTCAGTGATTTCTAAAGGTGTAATAGAGAAACTGCACCTGCCAGCAGACGCTTAAGAAGTCTCTCATTTACAACCAGGTTTCAAGGAAATGAAACGAATGCGTTTATTACTCTTACTAAGCAATTCTGAAAAGCTAACCATTCACTTTGATACCTGTATGTTTGCTTCCTGTATACTTAGATGCTCAGATTTTATATTGCAAAATTCAGTATGTAAGTCATCAAGCTTTTGCAAATCAGTGCTTCAATTTTGCACATTTAGTGTATTCTGCACCTCATAGGAGACCTTTAATAAAATATTGTTTTTTGCAGAGATGGTCCAAAGTTATCAGAGTTTATATATCTACTTGACATTTTCAGGAATTTTTAGTTATTTTAAGGAACTTATTCTACATTTTAAATAGTAAATCATGCGAGTAAAGAGTTTTTCTCAACATTTAAGATTTGCTAACCAGAGTATATTAAAATGGTGATCTGATCATATGCTTCTTATAGAATTTGTTTCACACATTCCAAAACAAAGCAAGCAATGAGGAAAAAAAGAGAGAGCAAACGGGTGTTAAAGAATGAGTATAATGGCAATTAAAAATTAGGCATAAAATATGTAATAAGGAAAAGACTGTTAACATTATATTTATGCAAATTAAATGTTTCTAATTCTTGTCATATGTCTTTCATTTTAAAGGTTATTTGCCCTGATTCTATGATTCAAGTGTCACAAGGTCTGGCTGTAGCTGCTTTGACATAATTTATTTGACAGCTCTGTGTGTCATAAATATATAATGTAACAAGGAAAGGTATCTTCACTGTTGAATGAAAACATTAATGTGTCAATACTGTGTATGAATACTGTTTGACATTTACTAGTTTCAAAAATAAAATACACAGTATGCCTTGAAAATATGGTATTCCTATTTTTGGAAGATACTTTCTTTGTCTACAGGAACTCATAAATAAATGAAGGAGCGCAGTTCCAGAGTGAATGCTAAATGGTGCCTTCATCATTAAGATAGATTTTACTAAAGATCACATAATCTGTATGGTTCCATATGTTTTATAATGAATTTAAATATTTTTTCTTTTTCTGTTTCTGTGTATTAGCATATGCAAGAAGAAGTTTATACTGAAATAAATTGAAATAGGAGACAATTTGCATGTAGAAGGATGAAAATGCCCTCATTATTTTAATTCTTTTTTTTACATTCTGTACTAGCCACTTCGTTAAGAGATATGCTGCCTTCTCCAACCTCAAAATTTATTAAATCTTAACAATGAAAAAAGAATTTGCCTTGCATTCAGAAATTGTATTTCCCCACAGCTCTTACAGGAGTATGGCATATAACACTTTTTTACCTCCATAAGATATACAGAAATCCTGGTCCAATTTCTCCAGTATTGCCTCTTTGCATGCACAGTCATTTGAATATATCTTTTTTTAATTGTCATTTGCATCTACAGATGGTGCACCTCATATCCAACTGGCACATACTGACGACACTGCTTATATACAGTCTGTGGCTTATCCCAGAAGAGAGGAAATGATGGACAAACCTTTCCACCACCTCCCAATAACTGTAATGACATTAATGAAAAATGGATTGACATATCTTTAAAAATTTGGCCTTGAAAGTAGAAGCTTAATTTTTCAAACCTGGTAATTTATGAAAGCATT